TGTGACAAAGGCATTAGGAAAGTTGATTAGCTTGAAAAAAACTACAAAATTTATTTAAACTTTTTTTTCCTACGATAAACCGTTTCGGAGTTTCGGAGCACAACGTGTTTTTGGTGAAAACTCAAAAAGTTTTGGATTTAATTTTTTTCAAAATCGGTTAGTTTAAGAAAAAAATTTTGTCAACAAAAAATGTAGGGTGCATTGTCCCCTACAATTTATGTCATTGGGTCGATGCTCTAGGACAGAAAATTGAAAAAGTAGGTAGCGCTAAAGTACACAAAAAAGCGTTTTATCGCGTTTTGACCCCGAATAAATTTTTTTAACGCAGGACTGTTATTACGAAAGTTGTTTATCTAAAAAAAACACATAAAATTTATTTACACTTTTTTTTCCTACGATGGACCGTTTCGGAGTTATAACAGCCTTCCGAATTTTCTCAATTATTTCTTAAAAAACCCCTGTGGGGCACGTGTTCCCTTTGACCGAATGACCTAAAATTTTGCAGGAATTTTTTTTTTATGATTTGGAACCGATTTGGGGGGCGGCTCTGTTAAATTTTTTCCGACCCCTAAATAAGGAACACCCTAATATGTATATATATATATATATATATATATATATATATATATATATATATAGTATATATATATATATATATATATATATATATATATATATATATATATATATATATATATGATTTTTCAATACATAAAATATAACATAACTACCAAAAATATCAGAACTGTCAAAAATATTTCATAATTATTATTTGTGGTATTCCTTTGGTGATTTTAAAAAGTTTTATATATAACATAATATGACATATTATGTTATATACAAAATTTACCAAAGAAATACGCACAAATAATATTTATGAAATATTTTTGACAGTTCTGACACTTCTCCACCAAACATGAAAGCCATCTAAATTTTAAATTATAAATAAAACTAACAATATCGCTACTAAACGGCCATTAAAAAAATTAATATATCTTTTAAAGGAATAAAAATAACAAAACAAGACTATCTGGACTGAAAAGATGAAGGTGGGGACTACATTTCCTGAAACTTTCAGATTTTTATTTTTTCCTCAACATAATGATTTCTGAAGGCAAAATTGGCTAATTTTGAGAATTATCAATTTTCAATATTTTTTTTAATAAAGAAATTGATAGTCTAGAAACTTAAAATAATAGTTACGTTTTCTATTGTATAAGTACTTTATACCTGAAAAAAATGAACCTTCTAAATTCAGTAGAATAGGCACAGGAGCCAGACAAAAATCACAAAAATTGGCAAATTATCATGAATCTTTAGTGGTTTACCATTCTTTTATCAGATTAACTAATTGGATAATAATAATTTATATCGAAAACACACTTACTGGACAGTAAAACAAAATTAAAATTATTTCAATATTTGTCACAGAAAAAAAGTTCTGGCCCACTATAAGAGAGTAAGAAATTGACACTATTTTAGACTTCTAAGGGGTGCCAAATAAAAGTAAAGCAACAAAAAATTAAAACGGCCACGGATTTTCATATTTGACACCTAAAAGATCATCCTCAAATTTTTTCATCAAAATAAAAAATCACGCAGCGCACCCCATTTGGTGTTTTTATTTGGAATGACTCTAATAATAAAAGCTGGATTCCTTTATGTATATTGAATGGGTACATAATGTTTATTTTAGAGGCATACGCATTATTGGCTTTTTATAAGAGACACCTTGCTACAAAATAAAGCATTGTAATGTTTAATCAATAAAACCTTTTTTACACCCAAAGAGAATTCATGAATTGTATGGAAACCTGGATGGAGAGCACTATATATTAAGAGATTATGGATTATATAGTGTAGCTTTTACAATGTAGATGGAGTAAGTTGTCCGTAAAATGGATTATTTAAAATTAATTGTAGAGGAATAGTATATTAGGTATCTCCATTTTAGTTACAAGTTTTATTAGGCACGAGCGAAGCTTGCGAGCGAGTGTTTAATAAAAAACAGAGTCTAGAGAAGTTTATAAAACGAGTTGTATACTATACTTTATTTACGAAGAACATAAATAAGAAATTAAAATCAATTTTAATTGTTAAATATTTAACACCTGATGAATTTAACCTAACTTTTTCACAATTTTTAATAAAGAAAACTTCAGCCTATGACTAAAGTGCCAAAAAGCCATTATTGCTAACTTTAGCCCTTGACTAAAAGGTCAAGATAATAGTAATTTACCTAACTAGTGCAGAAAGTGCCACTTTTCCGAACGCGAGCAGAGTTTGGTCATTAATCGACGGCGACACACAAGCAAGTTTCCATTTGTAAAAACACTTCTTGTACAAGCGGGAGAAAAGTAAGCGTGCAAAAAAGTTAAACTTTACGAACGGTTATACGTGCGGAAAGTAGCAACTTTCCGCACGCTTATATTATAATAGGACTTCTGTAAAAATGGCGAATATGCTGAGTTGAGTCCAGTTGAATTAAATTTATGTTACAAATAATTAAATTTTAATGCAACTTTCCAATTCTTTAATTTTTATTATTCCTTATTTAATCACAAAATTAGTATTATTTAACTATATTAATTAACTAAGTTTAAGAAATAAATAGTTTTTTTAATGGAAACTGTACATGTCAAATTAAATTATATTATACAACAATTTGCTTATTATTTAAATAGTAATTAATCGTAATAAATTTGTTTTTAAATAATTTTAATATAATAGTATATTCTGTAAAAAGTTTGGAATACGGCATATTCCGCGAGTTTCACGAGAGTGGAATATGCAATTCCAAATGAATTTTAGATTATATTTTTTCTACGTTTCCAAAAAATACCATAGAAAAATAATTTTTTCTACTCCCACCTTTAAATGTGTTTCCATGACACTTTTAAATACACATTGACAAGTTGTGGCTTTACGGCATTTTAGTCACAGGCTGAAGTTAGCAACGTTTTTAAATGTCATACAATCGTTAAAATAATACTAAATGTAAAAATTATTTTATTATCTCAATACAAAAATACAAAATCATTAAATAGTTTCTCAACGCCAATATTTGAAAAGTTTATATGAACATTGTACTGACCTTTTAATTTCGCCGGCAGTAAACTAGATATAACTTAAAGTCGGGATCGGACTCCACCGGGAAGTGTTAATAAAATATTTTCTTCAATTTCACTGTGAAAAACTGTTGTTTATAACACATACAAATTTGACATTTGACGATAACAGATTTCCCTATTGTTTTATAGATGGCGCATTATACAAATTCTTATATTAAATCATTTTTAGATAATCATAAGTATGTATTTGTCTTCGAAAAGTATAGTATTCAACTGGTTTATAAACTTTTCTAGACACTCATTAATTTAAGGACTCGCTCGCAAGCTCGCTCGTGTCTAATTTAAATTCGTTTCTAAAATGGCTTTTATCAAACTTGATACATAATATACTATAATTGGGAGGAAGTGAGGTCGGATCGATCCAATAGTATATTCTGTAACAAGTTTGGAATACAGACGTGTTTCAGACTAAACTTTTTCTACGTTTCCAAAAAATACCATAGAAAAATAATTTAATTGGAAGAAAGTGAGGTTGGATCGGCCTAAGATTTGTTAGATATTAAAAACAGAGATGTCGCCACGAGTGTTTATTGTCATCAGATGATAGAATATTTCATTCTGTAACACTTTACGGAATATAGGTCATTCCATAGATAATAGTGATATTAGAAGGGTCAAATTCCGTAATAGGAGTAGAAAAAAGTTGTTAGATAATAAACTCAGAGATGTCGCCACTAGTGTTTATTTTGTAACCCGGTGATAATAATAATTCATTCTGTAATATACAATTAATATCTATGTAATTCCACATTAAAAATTTATATTAGAACGGTCATATTCCGTAATAGGAGTAGAAAAATATAGTATCTAAACGTGTGTATGTTCTTTTGCTTCAAAGGCTGTTATTTGGTTTCTTGACAGAAACTTTTATAAAATACATCTGGCTATCATGCCACTTGGCAAGTAATTAACCATAACTTTAAAATATTTAGTTTCCTAGTTTAATATTAATTTTTTAGCAGTTAATCCATCAATATTAATTATAAAAACAATAAAAAACTAGTCAGTCGATTTTAGCATAATTTCAAAATTTGGCAACGCTGTCCCTTGGTTGAGATCGTGCAGATGACTCACTCACTTCTTCGGTAATCCATCAATGTCAAACACCTTCTTTCCAATATACCATGATTTGCACTATGTATATATTTCTCATCAATTCAATCAACTTCGACCCGAACGACGAGATCCGACCCGATATTTCCATTCCAACTTCGTGTGCACGCTCCAACAACTTCACCTAATTTCCTAATGCATAAGCAAATTTAATGTTAAATATGCAAAGTTAATAATTTATGCATAAGAAACTAAGTATTTTAATGAAAATAAATAACAAAGTCTTAAGGTTATTTTATTTTTATTTATAATTACATCAATAATAATATAATTTAATAAATAAAACGAAAATTTAAAGCTAAACTCGTATATTATAGAATCAAAATGCTAAAGGTATCAATACATTTTTTACTGTACACTAAAAATTGATACATTTATGCAATTATTTACATCAACAACAACCTACGAATTCTGAAGTCTTTCTAAATTGTAAATACATACATTTACATTCATAATTTAACATGTCGTTACGACATCGTGCAACAAATAAAATCAATTATTATTATTATTATTAAAAATATTCCTTTTTACAATATTATACAACACTTTATTTCGAACTTTCATAAATCTGTTTTGAGTGATTGTTAAATTGATTGTTTAAGAAAATTAAATGTTGTTTTTGGATTGTCTATAACAGGCAAATATATTACAAAGCATGCCAATGTATTTAAAATTAATAATTAACAATAACAAAACAAATTTAACAAACAGAAAAAATTACAAGTATCAAATATTCACATGAATTTACGTTACGTTAATAATTACCGTTAAAATTATAAAACGTATTAGCTACTTATTTACACCTTATGTGCTGAGTTTCAACTTCTTTGTGCTACTTTTAAGCTCGCAGTTGTAACAAATCTTTATAATAATACTGTAAATTGTAAGCTTTATTATTATAAAAAATGCAAAATTAAATGAACCAAATGCTTTATTTTATTGATATAAATACGTCCTAACAGATATCCTCAACGGTGGAAATACCGTCCATTGCACTGAATCAAATTTGGTAGTACTCCGGCGTATAGTCGTTGGCCAGGTTGCTCAAAAAATTAAAGTCCGAAGAACTATTGCTACTCTCCCCTGCAGGTACTTGTGTCTGCGCCGAATCCGCTCCATAAAACTGATGAAAATTGTTGTACGAATCACTGTTTTCCGTTTGGACGCTCGTTGGTGGCGTCATGATGGCCGTAGAGTTGGCAGCATTGGGAAACATCTCCGGGGCCATGTAATTAGGATCGCTGTTTACTGGTGGTACTTGTGTACTATTGTAGTTGTTTTGGTAGTGATTCACCTTTGTTTGATAGTCGTTTTGGTTTTGCACTTTTGAAATGTGCATGTTTTCGTAGTTGTAGTTGTAATGTTGATTTTCGTGGGCAGGCGGTACGGAATTTGTCATGGTTTCTGTAGTTTCGTTAGGGTACATATTTCCAGGGTAACCATAGTTATTGTAGTTTGCGTGGTCTCCATGGTAGTTCTGTGTATAGGTAGTTTGGTTACCTGCATAGTTTTCCGCGTGGTTTTTGTTGTAGTAGTGGTACTGCTGATTTGGATAACCAGCGTGATAATTTTGTCTACTACCTCTACCAGACAACCTTGATCCATGTATATTATTCTCCTGGTTATGTCTTATGTAACCGCTTTCCACAGTATGTTCGGGATTGTAAATGTTTCCGGAATACATATGGTTCATGTTTTGATAATGTTGCTGCTTAGTTCTTTCTCGGTAGTCCCCTTGGTTGTTCATGTGATACTGATTGGAAAAATGATGACCTGAACCTCTCGATGCGAAAGGTGGTATGGAATTTGGAACATTTTGAATTGTTACAGTTGCAGAAGCTATTGCAGTTGCAGTCGTTGGTGAGGAACGCTGTATGTGAGGATACATCATACTTGAATTAATCCCTAAAATAAAAAATAAGTAAATAAAAGTACATACTAAAGTTTACATTGAAATCTTACCTAACGGACTAGGATGTAGGCTGGGAGTCCCAGGAAGAGACGAGTTTTTAGGAGACATTTTTACTGGCATACTTTCTTGATTTAGTCCCATTGTACTGTTTTCTTTGTGCGCCAGATTAGGCGATACTTTACTTAAACCGATTTTACGATCACATGAATTCGGTGAGTTTCTTCTTCCTTCGACTTTTACCGATACCGGGTTATTTGTTGTGGATGAAGCTGGTTTTTTTGATATTCTTGGAGACGAATGAGCTCCACTGTCTTCATTACTTCTCGAGTCTTCTTCGTTGATCAGTTTATCAAAAGAACTGGAGCTTCCTAAAAGACAATAAAGAAAAATAATAAATAAGTATATTTGAGAAAATTTACAATAATACTATATTGTGAGACTAGAGGAAGAAATATAAGATTTCTCGAGCGTGGAGTTTGCCGTACTACGCGGGTGGAATCTCTTTTTTGACCTATAGTCGCAGATAATATTTTATTCAAATACCGCAAGAAATTTAAAGCCAATTTTATTTGACATCTGACAACTGTCAAACAGTTTTAACCTCCCTTTTCCAGTTTTAACTTAAATCTAACTTCAGCCCATGGGCAAAATAGTATTTCGACCAGAGGTTGAAGTTAAGAAATTTAAAATAAGGGAATTCATTATTTCGCCCCCTTTTAGTACAGGGTACAGTGGTCGCGATCCAGAAAAAGTTGGTTAAAATAAGGTCTGAATTTTTAATTTAGTAATGTCTCGTTTAATACATATGGAAATAGTTCCCATAATTTCAAAGAGTCGGTAATTCATATATTCGTCAATTCGCCAATTCGATAGGTATACCAATTTTAATTTACGAATTTAGTTTGTCATTTTGGACCAAAGTCAAATCAAGTCTAAACCCTTAACGACTTTTTGCCAGATTTTTCGGGGTCGGGACCACTATGCAGGCCACGAAATTATATCTTCCTTATGGGTGTTAAATCAAATATTTTATTATTAATAATATTATACAACATTAAGGGTCAAAACAATCAAGGCGGCAAATTCGTTTTTAATACAAATGATCAAAATATTGCATAACAATTCCTGAATGTATATAAAAATGGCTACTCTCTAAAAATGAAATAGTCAAAATTTCACTATATAAATTAGTAACAGCATTGTTTACTAATAAAATAGTCATTTTCACTTTTAAATAGTTATGTTCTACTACTTAACAGGTTAAAGTTTGACTTATTTAAGATAAGTCACCATCTTTGACTGTTTCTAAGAGTAAAAAGTAACTAATTTCTTTAATCGTTTTTAATTCTTGCGACCAACAACAAATTATTGTTAGAGTTAAATGCATATAGGTTCTTTAGTTAAATGGCCCATAAAAACAAAGAAAGATACAAAAAGTTTAGCTCAAAACAAGCTTTAAAATATTATTAAGAATATTTTATAGACAAATAAAATTAATTTTTATAAAAGTGACAGTAGAGCACCGGTTTGACATCCACTTGACAAGCGACAGAGGCGAGTTCAAACAAAGGCTGGGTCAAAACTTTTTTAAATTTAAATCTACTAATTTGACTATTTCATTCAGTAGAATTTGACTAGTTATTAGAGACAGCTTTTTCGCTATGACAATTAGTCAAATTAGTTATTTTTTACTAATTCATTTTAAGAAAGTAGTTTATTAGATTATGGGTTTATAATAAGAACTAAAGATAATACCAAATTAAAAAAAATGCATGGGCATCATAGATGTTAAAGTATTTTTAAAATTTAATTATGATTTAAATATTTAATGATTTAAAAGTTTGGCAATACATTTTCACACATTATTTTATATTTATTTTATCAATGGACGGGGTAAGTTAATTTTTAGATTTATAAATTACTCTTTAAAAATGAATTAGTCAAAAATGACTAATTGTCATAGCGAAAAAGCAGCCACTAATAATTCTCGTCAATAGCAATTTGTATCCCGAACATTTAGCAGTCAATTTCCATGTAAAATTGTCCCCTGAATCCGAAAAAGTCGTCAAAAGTTAAAAAAAAATAGAACAGTTTTTAAGATATAGTCAATTTTCCATTTAATATGGAATTGACTATATCTCAAAAACTGCTCTACTTTTATAATGTTTGACTGTATATTCGGATTCACGGTACAATTTTACTTAAGAATTGGCTGTTAAATTTTGAGATACCATGGTATCCCATGATTAACCATTCACCACTTGGCTTTGAGTAAACTATATCCCATTTTGGTTACAACTCTTGTGAGGTTCACCTTGCGGTTTTCGTCCCGCTTTTTTGTAATAACTCTTGTAGTTGTTTTAGATACAGGTCGGTCTTGCAAGTTTTATTTTTTTAATTTAATTTTTAGTATTTTGTTTTTACTAAAAATACCTTTAAAAGAAAGGGCAATATGAGGGCGGTATAAAAAGTAAAAATTTACAAAATATGTTTACGGTATAAGTTTCTCCAACAAAGATACTCTTTAGTCGCAACCAAAATGGGACAAATTGTACAGATATATACTTAAGTAAAAGAAAATCAAAGAAACAAGTAGGGGCGATCTTCTTTTACGTACCAACACTGCTAGCGCCATTACTGTTGTTATTAAAGTTGGTATTATTGTTGGTGGCACTTGGTGTATTGTTGTTGTTACCTCTAGTGGAGCTGATGTCGGGGATTTCTTCGTGTGAGCCGCACAAACCGCCGGCCGGTAGTTCACAGCCTTGACAGGATTTTTTGGATAGTTCGTCGTCCAGGAATTTATCGCCAAGTTTTGCACTTTTGCCGCCCTCGCTTGTCACCGAGTCTTTGTCGTCGCCGTCTTCTCCAGATTTGCCTAACGTCTGTCGTTTGTGTTTCATGCGGCGATTTTGAAACCATACTTTTACCTGGAAAATAATAAAAATTAATATAAAGTGTGTTTGATTTAAGACCGCAACACCCCATTATTTTAAATCGCTTTAAACGACTTTAATATATTTTTTTGGGACATAGTAGCTGTGGAAAAATAATATTTTCATTTTTTCTATGCCTGCTGAGATCTCCTAAACTGCTGCTTGCTAAAGATCGACCATCGGGATTAAAAAAAATGAATTGCGCATTCGATTCAGACATGCCTCAAATACCTTTATACAAAGTTTGAGCTCAATATATTTGAGAAGTTTTTTCAGAATATATATTTTTTTAGAGTTTTTTTTTAAATACATTTACCGTATAAATACAGGCTCAGTCGAAAAGTAGAAAATTTGAAAATTTGCTATGCTGTGACAAACACACTATATAAGGTACAGTGTGCGGCAAAAAGGTTGCCCCATTTTCAAAGGGTCATTGTTTGGCTCGTGGGGGGGATAGAGCAGTGCGCATGGTCGCTTCCATTTTCAGTCGTCATTAGGGTGATTCAAGAAACCTTTTTTTTGTTTTTTTTTCTCGGAACCATGCTCAAAAGTTTCGTATAGATATAAAAATGAGCCTGTAAAAAAATGAGCTCTTAATTTCAAAATTAAGATGCTCCGCATCGCACTTTTCGATTTTCCATAAATAACATAGGAAATTTTTATTTTTTTATTGTTATTTTTGTAACTAACAAACAATAGGTCGTACTGTCAAGTTCTTGACAACTTTTGTAGAGAATTGAACGCTCTACAAAAAAGGTTTTTTATGATTTTTTAATAAATTTGATCCTTCTAAAGAAATTTAAGGTCAAAGTTCAAATTATACGAAATTTTAGGTTTTTTAACTTTTTTGGTGAGTCTACCCGACTCATTTAAAAAAATTTAAAATATTTTTGTAAAGAATTGAACTACAAAAAAGATTTAGAGTCATTTTTCGGTAAGTTAACTTGGTTAAAAGTTATTCAAGGTTAAAGTGAAATTAACCGTCAATTTAGTGGTTTCCTCAAAAAAACTTCTGGATTTTTTAGTTCAAAGGACTAAAAACGAATCGAAATATTGTTTTTGAGCTCTGGAAATTCGGAAAAACAGCGTTCAATTCTATACAAAAATATTTCAAAAAATTTTAAATGAGTCGTGTAAACTCGCCAAAAAAGTTAAAAACCCCAAAAATATTGTATAATTTGAATTTTGACCTTAAATTTCTTTAGAAGGATTAAATTTATCAAAAAATTACAGGAAACCTTTTTTGTAGAGCGTTCAATTATCTACAAAAATATGTCAAGGACTTTACAGTACGTTCGTTAGTTAAAAAATTAAAAAGAAAAAAAAATAATTTTTCCTATGTTGGAAAATCGAAAAGTGCGATGCGGAGCATCTTAATTTTGAAATTAAGAGCTTATTTTTTCAAAGGCTCATTTTTATATCTATAAGAAACTTTTGAGCGTGGTTCTGAATCTGTCAGAAATATTTGGGATGTCAATAAAAATCAAACTAAGAAAAAGCAATGGTATCCATGGGGATTATCTGCCAGATAACTAACTGCAACTTTAACCGGGCAATGATAAACCGGCCCTTAGTTAAACTCCCTCTAACTCAAACTGTTTAACATGTCAGATGACTATTTTTTAATTACAAAAGTCGTTCGTAAAAATATGACTGAACATTTTAACAAATTTAACGTCTCTTTTGGTAAATTAAAACAAACTATTTTTTGTGATTAAATTTACTTTTAAAACAATTGAATTACCTTTACAAAGAAAAGAAAATTTTAATTACATTATGTCTGTTTTGTGAAAATAGATTAATCATTAAAACTCTAAAAATTAATCTCCTTGATTTTACTTTGCATGGTTAAAAGCCGGCGGCCATACATGTGATTGAATTAATAAATAAACGTCAAAGGATGTGTTTTTGAAATATGTCATGCAACGACTAAAAAAAGTCTTGGAAATAAATTAAAAAAGCAATCTTCACCCTCAATTAGTTTTCTTGTTTGATTAATACACTTTTAACACCAACGTATAATTTTGAGTGGTGATTGATTATTCGAAAAAAAAAAGAGACCAAATACCGATTTCTGTTGTCGGATATTAATTGACTGTATAATGTCGGGTCAGGAAAGTAAAGAGATTTAGTCCTTTTTGCTCTACCTGTGTTAAGTTTAATGAAGCTGCTATTTCGATTCGACTCGGTCGGCAGCCTATTGTAACTTTTAGTGGAGGTTTATATTCTTAAAAATATTTTTGTCCTAAAAACGCAGGTTTTATTTTTTTATAATATAATAATAACATTAATAATAATGAAATGTATTATTTTTTGTTCCAGTATTAATTATGAGGCGCCGTTTGTATCATAATTATTCCATTTAATATATATAAATATTTACTAAATATGTTTATTTTTTAGTAAATATATATATGTTTTTACCCAATATTTTTAAATGCATAAAAATATATATATTTTTAATTTGTAAAAATATATATAAAGTAAGCTTTAACAGTTCGCCTGTAGATGGCGCTGCTCACCAAAATAAAATTTGGCAACGTTGCCCTTATAAAAGTATGTTGGTGCACCTGTTTAAATAGTGCAAGTTTCTGGCGGTTAATAATTTAGAGGTTAAAGTAAGTACATTTATTTATTTATTTCTACTTTGTAAAAATTTTATTACAAATTTTAGAAATGTAAATATGGATAGTATTGCGTTAGATTAAGAACAAGAAAGTCGTTGTCTATTTACAGAAGACATTCGTTTGTTGGAAGATGCCCTGAATAAGATAGTCATGTCTAGAGGCCCTACCATAGATTATAAAGAAAATAAATAAATTCTTTAAATAAAAAACTTCTTAGTACTCGATTTCGATTGATTATTCCTTATATCATTGATTAAGAAACTCAACGCTTAAATGCTTATATAGTTGCGTTAGTGTGTGTATTTTATCAAAGGGATCATGGTGAATTATTGTGTTTTTAATTATAAATAAAATTCAAGAACTAAATCGTTGCATTTTCATGTTTTGACAAAGGATCCAATTTGGTAAGTACATTTGTTGGTGCAGAATTAACTAATGATAACTTTACCTAATATAATTTATATTTAAGTTTGGACATTTTTAAGAAATTAGTAAAAAATAATTTTTGCACAAACATAACCTTAAAATCAATCATTTTTATATTTAAGTTCTCTAAAACACGCCGACAACTGCATTTTAAACAACAAAATATACCTACGAATTCATGGCAATTTACCGTTGAGTGGAGACTTTAAAGAATTCTTAATCAACGCTTTAAATAATGCTAAATGCTGTTTAAATTTAGACGACTTATTTGTTTGACGATTTTTACTGAATTAAAATGTTTACACTTTTCACGTTAATCACTACTAAAATGTGTATTTATTGTATCTAATAGGTACAATTTATATTTACAGAGACTGTATGCAATTTATTTCTTCATTCAGATTAAAACTGTTTATTGGAAAACCGGTAAAAACTCAACCCAGGATTTTCTCTCGAAATACACCCAACAACACAACAAATCGATCCACGGTTTTTTTTCGATATTTTTTTAACATTTTCCGGCTTTATTCTCAAAAACACTCGTTTGTAACTTAAACGTTTGACAGCTGATTATTAAAAGTTTTACTTTTTTTACGATTACGAGTGGTGGCGCTACTAGCGATACTTCTTTAGCGTATACTTTATCTAGTCCAATAAGTAGATAATTAAATGGTTTTTCAAAAATTAATAAATAAAATTTGACATGTGTCAAATGGTTAACCTCACTTTTTACCAATTTTAAATAATATTATTCGCCTTTCTCCAATTTTAAAACCCGATTGGTTCAAATCAGTGATGCCTAACAACGTGAAAAATGATTTCATTATTTCCGGTGTTAGGCAGAGAATGTTTATAATTATACTCAAAAAAACTCAATATTATGCAATAGGAGTAGATAAAATAGTATATATGTGGTTAAGGCCTCGGCAGCGAAAACTGAGCTCGGCTTTAAATAAGCGCTTTCTCCGCCTGTTAGATAATGTACTATTTTCTACAAACTTCATTAACAGAATAGTTTTTAACGCATTCTGTCAATGTCTAAAATGTAATTTTAAGTTAACTCTGAAGCAAAAATAGAAAAAAATATCCTTTTGCACAGTGGCGGCTCGTGGGTGTACAGGAGGGTGAGGCTACATAAGGTTAATTTTGTCTAAATACGAATAAATTTCCACGTCACCCGGGAGGTATTATTCTGCGACGCGTTGACCTTTTTTAAAATGGAGCCGATAGCACTACTAAACCAAAAAATAAACTCTAAAAAACAAAACAAACAAAATATCACATCAAAGACTAGTTTTAATCTTAAACTTAAAATATAGTCTTAAAAAAGTTAAAAATAAATATATTAATCAAAAAATAAAAATAAAACTAAAAAGTCGACCCCTACCTAAGTATTAAAAAATATAAAATACTATACGTCTATCTTTTAAGATTGAAAATTTATCTATTATTTGGTCGTAAAATTGTGGGTCTGCAGTGAGATTTAAAAGTAATTCTAAATTTTCAAACCGCGTCTCTAATTGAAGAATTATGCAATCTATTATTTCCAAATATAAAATTTGCTTAATAAAAACTGCTAAATCTACCTTAGTGTGTTCCCTACAATAATTAAATAAGAAATTTTACTAATCGAGACAAAAACTATAAAAGATCAGCCAAAAGTTTTAAATAATTTAATCTGAATCAAAACAATAACGTGCTCTACAAACGCTAAGAGAAGACTGGCAACCTTCTTTGTCTCCGCTGGCATCCCACCATAAACGGACCACCAATCAGAACAAACCAAGCTAACTAAATTTCGCCTCATCTACGGTGTTTATTCGCGAACTTACGGCGATATTTTTGTTGGTGAGTCATTTTCGCTTTCAAGAGGTAAATGGGAGCTTCCGAGGCTGTGAAAATTTCGCCTCTGTCCAAGCGACTCTCAACGATGCACGTTAACTTGACGCGCTTTGCGCCTGGATTTTTATTTACGCTTAATATGATTGATTACTTTTTATTGGGTAGAACTGTTGTAAAAATACACTTGTAATAGGCAAAAATATAAATACAAAAAGTCGTTCGTTCCTTCATTTTAAGGGTGAGGCGCGGCCTCAGAGGCCTACCATGACGAGCCGCCACTGCTTTTGCATGAGATATGTTATTATGTAAGAAATTTGTCGATTTGTACTCTGGTCAATACTTTCGACTTTTTTGGTCGATATTCTTTGTCCTTCTGCTTTAAAAAAGCAACTTTTGCTTATCTCCAGATTCTTTATGTTTATCATCACCATCAACTTGATATAATTTGACTAAAGCGTTATCCATGTCACGAGATTTAAAGTTACTTATCAACAAACCTTAGCAACAATAAACTTCATTGGCAATTGTATTTCAAAATATATTTTATAAATAACGTAAGAAATGCGTTGATTTGTACTTTAAATTGTGTTTCTAGAAAAAATATGTGCTAAACATGATTTTATTCTGTAAGCCTTCGGCGTATTCCCTTCTCACAAAATAAATTGTTACTTTTAGCACATATCATAAATAACTATTATCTACTCCTACATTTAATACACTTGTGAATTAAGTTACTTAATGCATGCACTAGTGTATTATCAGATTGGAAAAATTGAGCTTATACCCGCCTGAAAGATAACAGATTCGTAAAAAGTAAGGTTAAAACCGCTTGAGAGTTATCAAATTTTAGATAAATTGTCAAATAAAATTAAATAATTTCTAAAAATACGTACATACTTTGCGTTCATCGTAAATCAAACAATTTGTAGATTAAGATTACTCATTTATTAAAAAATTGATCCGCAAGCTCCACTCGTGCATAATTAAACTAAATACAAAATGTAAGACATAGACCATCATTTATATAAAATTTGACTAAACTTGTTTTATACTATAACATAATATAATTGTTGCACAGTAATATTTACGATTAATTCATTACTTTACGTATTCGCTTACCTGTCTTTCAGTCAAATCTAACGAAGCTGCTATTTCGATCCTTCTAGGACGGCAGAGATATTTGTTAAAATGGAATTCTTTTTCTAATTCGAGGAGCTGCGTGTTTGTGTAAGCTGTCCTTAATCGCCGCGGAAGGCCATTTTCTATAAAAAACAAAACATATTTAATCTAAATTTCCACTTAAATTTATTTTAAGAGCGCTGTCGCCTTGCGTGGGAGACTTTTTTGCGACCATTTCCGCATCACTCATCGTTCCTGACAAAAGTCAGTTACACCATTGTTTTCACAAGCATGTGTTAAAGAAACAGTTGAAGTTAACAGCCGTGATATAATTAGACGGTAGAGTAGACTGTAACAGGCACTTTCCTTCATTTTTGTCACACCAGTGTTGATTTAATACATTTAAATATTTCATTACATTCTATAACAAATCGCCTACTTTTGATAAAGTATTCTTTATAAGCTACAAGAAGGTGACTGAAACTATGACAACATATGGAAATCTTGGAAATTAGGCATTGGATCTAAACTCAAAGTTAAGAGTGATTCTTATTTTAATGTACTGTATTATTCCAAAAACCATATTGATTAACACGATTAAGCGATGTAGTATAGCATGGCCCTTTTAAATTACCAATTTCGTAACTCTTTAGAACAGTCAAATACGTGTGGATTCGTGAGTAATGCCGGGGGAAATATTGATAAAGTTTGACGTGTTTCCTATTTCCAATGATAAAGTGCATCAACATCTGTCACCTGGCGAGAAAATTTAATATCAAACTATGACTATCTCTTTGTCACGGGCACAAGTTTTCAAGCAAATGCTGCATTACATTATACCGCGATCTGTTGCCATCCTTACTTTTCATGCTAATCAATTCTGTCCTGTTTAGGTAATTAGAAAAGCAAACAGATAAATGTATTAAAATAATTTACCATTATCAGGTATTAATAATTTTAAACTGTTTTACACATGTCATAACACATTAAAATAAGTTTCAGAAAGTATTTTAAAGCCGTCAAAATCAAGCCAATTGGCGTAAATTTGAGGTCATCTATATAAATTATTGACTAAACGATTATTTATTTATAGATGGTCTATTTATAGTGAAATAATTTTCCTTCAGTTTAATGGAAAAGTTTGAATTTTATAGCTTGTAATGGTAATAATGTTAGGTGCAATATTTTTTCTTCAAGCTTATGAAATGTGATGGGAAACATTTTATTATAGGAATAAACGAAATAGTTTGTTTTAAACTACATGATAACTAGGTACACGGAAAAAAGAAAACGATAACCAATGATTACTTACCATTGATGTGCAGAACAGTAATATACTATTCAAATTCAAACAATTTCTAATAAAACCTTAGGTATTACTTTAGCAACAGCAATAGTTATTTTGTCAAATCAATAAATACTGCCAGGAACTATTATAGTAAGCAATATTCTGCAAATACTGCAAACATTTTTGTAAATTTTGAAAAATTTAGATGTACATAATAACGTTTTGATTAATTTTATATTACGAATTCTATAAATTTAATTAATTACTTTTCATAATATAACATAATTTTATAATATTTAGTGACCAACTTAAATAATTAATTTCATAATTTTCTCTATCCAAACATGCGCTGTGAAATTGTGACTATAGTGAGTATAGTAAGTGACAAGACTGTATACTTCGCGAAACAGCAATCACAGCGAAGAAGTACACTCCACGGTGTAAACTAATTCATATTTATGATAATAAAAGTGCAACTTTCTCTACGGTTACTTGTTCTAAAAGTAGCAAATTTCCTAACTTTTGTAGAAAATATATATTTTATTGCTTTAAAATCTAAATTTTCTTGTCAAAATTTAAATACATAAAATAAATACATAAAATAAATGTATAGAGGTTTCAAAAAGTTAATTTTGAATTAGGTAGACATTATAACTGTTTGAAGCCATGGGATGCGCCAAAAAGTATTTAAATTACAATATTAAAAAATCTACTATAATTGGTAATGTTTTAACAATGTTTGTTTCTTACTTTATTAAGTTGCATCCTTTAGCCGCTAGAGGGCGTCAATTAAATCAACTTTTATAGTTATGGAAGTTGAGTTAAATAGGCTTATTTTGAGCAACAGAATAGGTGATTCAATATTATAATTACAGATATTAATTACACTTTAGGGTGGTGAAACTATCACAGGTAAACGCTCGGACAAACTTTATTTTTGGTCGTAGATTACAAATCCGCGCTTGGTTTAGCTGTATGAGGTCAAAATTTAAAGATTTTATAGTTTGGAGCATCCCATTAAAAAAACACCATTTATAAATATAAAAAAATCAATTGGACTGGACCCACACATCAGTTCCAAATTTAAAAAAAATTGAGATTAATTGATTAAAAGGAACACGTGTACCTGAAGGTTTTTCTTAGACTATTCCACTCATTACTTTATGGACCAATCAGATATTAGAAAACGAGTGGTTATTCAGTTTTGCAGCGATAAAACTACTACTTAGGTAAATTTAAAAAAACCACTCGATTACACGAGTTGCATAGCAACCAACTGGTTGCTATGCGAAACATAATTGTCAATGTTGACGTTTCTAATTTTAAAATAAAAATGTCAAAAAATATGCCTTTTGGTCAATAAAATCATACAGAAATTGAATCGGCAATTAATTCTAATAAAAAAAAATATTCGTGAAATAGTTTTGCCTAATACCTCGTGATAAAATTTTTCCTAAAAAAATTTTTGATTTTTATTTGCTCAATATTTTTCCTTGGAAAAAAACATTTGTATAAAAATTTGATCGGTTCAATTTTTCCACTCTGGTGGACTTCGAATAAATTGCGTCAACAATAAATTTAAAGCACCGATTATACATCATTTTTAAATAAATAGGTAGTTACTCGACAAATTTTGTTCAATTGCACAGCTAAATCGCGCACGTTATTTGTATTTTACGTTGCAAGGAAAAAATTAAAAAACTTTTTTATTACTCAATTTCGATTGATTATTCCTTATATCATTGATTAAGAAACTCAACGCTTAAATGCTTATACAGTTAAGTTAGTGTGTGTATTTTGTCAAAGGGATCATGGTGAATTATTGTGTTTTTAATTGTAAATAAAATTCAAGAACTAAATCGTTGCATTTTCATGTTTTGCCAAAAGATCCAATTCGGTAAGTACATTTGTTAGTGCAGAATTAACTAATGATAACTTTACCCAATATAATTTATATTTAAGTTTGGACATTTTTAAGAAATTAGTAAAAAATTATTTTTGCATAACATAACCTTAAAATCAATCATTTTTATATTTGAGTTCTCTAAAAAACGCCGACAACTGCATTTTAAACAACAAAATATACCTACGAATTCATGGCAACATACTATTATATATAATTCATAATATAATGGTATTTTACCGTTAAGTGGAGACTTTAAAGAATTCTTAATCAACGCTTTTAATAATGCTAAATGCTGTTTAAATTTAGACGACTTTGACGATTTGTTTGACGATTTTTACTGAATTGAAAAGTTTACAATTTTCACGTTAATCACTACTAAAATGTGTATTTATTGTATCTAATAGGTACCTACAATTTATATTTACAGAGACTGTATGCAATTTATTTCTTCATTAATACTGTTTATTGGAAAACCGGTAAAAACTCAACCCAGGATTTCCTCTCGAAATACACCCACAACACAACAAATCGATCCACGGTTTTTTTCGATATTTTTTAACATTATCCGGCTTTATTCTCAAAAAGACTCGTTTGTAACCTAAGCGTTTGACAGCTGATTAATAATCAGTGATTATTAAAAGTTTTACTTTTGTTACGATGATAACAGCCGAGTGGTGGCGCTACTAGCGATACTTCTTTAGCGTATATACGATAATTTAGGAAATTCAAAATGTTTTTTGCTTATTTCTTTTTAGTGAGTATAATTGAGGATATTATATTATATTATATTAAACGAAATAAAAACCATAGGAATATTGACACAAGAGGTGAAATATATTATTTAACAAATTATAATATAGCGGGAGTCCCTAGATCGGATTGCCAATAGGATTTTTTTTAGACCTGATACAGCTAAACCGAGCACAGATTTGGAATCTACGAACAAAAATTATGTTTACGTTGCCGAGCGTTTAGAGTTGAAAATTTACCTACAGTGTTATTAATTTATATTTTTCAAAATTTCGGGGTCAGTCCAAAAATTCTAAACTGTTTTGCACAAAGCCAAAAATCGGTATCTCAATCCTGTTAAAACACTATTAAAATATTATAGTATAATGAAGTTAAAAATTTGGTTTAATACTAATTTTAAAGAAACCTTAAATAGATATTACTATTATTAAAGTTATTAAATTTAACATCTAACATCTGTGGCATCCTACCTATCTAGAAGGGAATTTAAATTACACACCGTTCTGACTATAGATTAGAAGATTAGAAGATTCGCGATTTTTTGCCATACTTGACAACAGTGCAGAGTTGACAACTTTAAGTTGTTAAGGTTAAGTTCGAGTTTGTGAGATTTTCAAATCACTCTAGGGTTACTACCTTTTGCTCGAGTGTACCCCCTCGTGCCCATGGCAGAATGGCGTCCCGACCAGGATGTTACCGGATTTATTTAGTGTTCATGTTAAAACTACAAATAATAATAGATATAATATTATTCCCAGGAAAAAATATTGTCACCTCAATTATTATAAAAAACAATTTTATCAGTGACATCTAACAAAAACATTTTAAATAAAAAAATATAAATCCAAACAATACGAACAATAGGATAATTTTATTTAATAACTGTCACTGTAAAGTATATTCATACTTTATTGTAATAATTGCCGCCATTTTTCCATATCGTGGATAATCCACATGTAATTTTTTCCCAGCTCGACATTTGTTCATTTCAACAATTGAGTGGATCCATTGTTGCGTCGGAACATTTCATCATTACAGCAATTACATCAATTTAACAGTAATTTTATAATTTTAGTTTATTATATTTAAAGTTGCACGCAATATTAAATTATTAAAATTATTGAAAAATCATGGCTACATTTTGTGTAGACAATAAATAACTAAATAATTTTATTAGTTTTTTTTTGAATGGCATCACA